ATTGTACAGTGGCATTAAGTGGCGCAATGTGCACCTCTGCCTACCCCTTCGGGGATAAAAAGGCGTGATGTTATGTTATGTAACATTACAACTTAAATGGGTATTAAAAGGCGCCCAGGATTATAGCCAATACAAAAAAAAAAACAAAATCGAATACCTTTCAAGCCTTTGCACACTGCTAATCCCCGTTTAATACATTTCGTGTGAATTTTCATTCATATGAGTTACACTATCATTTCACAGAATCTTGGGTAAGACACGATTCGTATTTCCGTTGATAATATAGAAATGTAGATACTAATTTATTGAAACTGACAGTAAACAATATTTTGGAGACTTATCATTGTAAATTTTATATTAAAAATGTTGTGGGTTCCGTATTTACTCATAATAATTATATTATCCGCAGTCTACACTTATCAAATAATTGGGATGATGATAAGGTATGAACATTAAAAATATAATTACTCCGTAAGTTAGGTAATGAAAAAATATTAGACACGTACTTTTTTATTTTTTAGATAAATCGAATCAAAGTTTGGGAGTGGGGGCTTAAACGTCATTTCTACGTATAAAATGTACATAGAAGTGACGTCACGCGACATTTCAAATTAATATATCGTCGAAAGTATTCGTTTCTGTAAGAAAATAAAAAATACGTGTGTAATGTTTTAAAATAATGTATCAGACGGACATTAACTCGTCGAGTACCGTCATTATAGACACAATTATAGAACAATAGGTTGCGGTCACCGGTGACCGCTTGGTGTTTGACAGTTTAAAATAAAAATTAGTCATCTACCCTATTATATATATATTACATTTAAATAAACCTTCTTCAACTCCCTCTTCTTTGAGGTCAGTTAATTTATATAAAACTAAAACCTTCGTAAGTATTATTTATTTATTTCAATTAAATAGTATAACATTACAGTCAACAACCAAGGCGTTATACATTTCAAATAATTATAAAAGAAAAAAAAAACAAAACAGAACAGTCCTTAAATAAAGTATAACTAACACTTTTATGAAAACGGTATCAAAATCATTCAGCCGCTCGCGAGATAATTGCGCTCTTTACATACATAGATACAGGTTAAACTGAGAACTATTTTTTTGAGGTTAAAAAGTTTTTTTTATTTGAGATAAAGTGGAAAACGAGCAGGGGATCATCTGATGGTAAGGAATGAAGGCTGCCCACAACACTAAAAGAATTACAAGTACGTTGCTGGTCATGATTGGGCCCTGAGACCTAGTAGGCCGTTTAAGTGAAGTAGACCTTATTCAGACGGCAGAACTGTATACAACACAAGCGTTTTTAACCGACTTGAAAAAATAAATGTTCTCATATGTATGTCCTCGATTATCTCGCGATTTGCTGAACCGACTTTAATACGATTTTCAGTAAAGTGTTTGTTACGCCTAGGAGAACGTTTTAGTATATTAATTACTCGACTTTAAATACTTCCACTACTAACGTGGACTATGGACGTATTAGATATATATACTTTTTTGTGGGGTAAAATCATCAGCAATCAGCATCGAATGACTGCTCCCGCCCGGGTGAGGCGGGAGGGAGTGTCAGACTCTTACTGACTAAAAACCACCCCGTTCCTTCTCCTGCACGTCGAGCCGGAGCCCCGGTTACCCGTTAGGTTCTGCATAAAGGTCTGGTTCTGGTCGAGCGGCGAGCCAAGCCACCCATGCTAGCCGTCGCGACCGTCAGAATGCCGTCAGAATGTGCATTATATATTATAGTAGGTAGTCATTTATTTAAAACCTAGCTACTACCGCGCGGTTTTACTCGTTCTGCTCGGCTGTCTAGCGTATCATAGCGTGATGTTTTATAGCATATAGCCTTATAGTTAAGTCACGCTTATTAAACAAAAACTGTATCAAAAACATAGATACATGCTTAAGTGGTTAGGTATACCTAATAAATTGAGATTTCTATCGTGTATTTAATAGGCCGATTTTCCTGAAAGAAGTTACTAAAAATAATATTTTAAGGCATCGACAAACACTTGACGCATAATAGTGTTACTTTGAAAAATTAAATATCTGGTGGCTTACTCTTGAATTCAACTCCGATCGATCGACATTGGTTTTGTGAAACTCTTGAGTTGCAACACTAGCGCCCATTGCATCCGTATTGCGTGGATATTGAATGAACTAAATGGTATTGAGTTTGCCTTTGTATTCTGTACTCTGAATGCTATTTTAACAGCTACGATAAGGGTTGTATAGTATTGACATTGAATAATTATTGAGATTTTATTGGATTGAAATTGCATTAATATTGAGATTGATTTCAAGAGTAAGCGCCTTGTTCATAGCACTTTTCTTATATAATAGGAGGCAAATGAGCAGACGAATCACCTGGGCCTCAAGTCAGCTATTACAATAGTGGCAGAATGATCTAGCATTGATTTCAAAAAGTGTCTACTAATTAGTGTAATGGCGTAACTATGACTTTCCAATGGTCAGCCACTGACACACCATTACTGACTATTACTGACACAACAAATAGACTGCACGGTTGGTGCGGTGGCTGGGCAACCGGCTGCCGTGCAACGTGTCGCGGGGTCGATTCCCGCACGGAATAACACTTTGTGTGATCCACAAATTGTTGTTTCGGGTCTGGGTGTGATGTGTATGTGAACTTGTATGTTTGTAAACGCACCCACGACACAGGAGATAATCCTAGTGTGGGGCAACGATTAAAAAAAAATTGTAATGACAGAAAAACTCAAAAAAGTGAAAAATACATTAACATTTTGCTCGACTAACATTGAGCACCTGAAAATATTATCAAAATCATCGTTACATCAATCGGTAATTTGAAAAACATGCATCCGGACTACCCCAGGCGATTATCGCAAAAAATCTAGATTCGCAATCTAAACAGTAGGATCGGAGATTTTCACTTACGATTACGGAACCCAAAAATAGATATCGGTGTGTTTACAACCAATATCGGTAAAATAATCGCTACCTTTTAAAAGATAATAGGAATTATCGGAGATTAAATAAATTTTTCGGGTATATATTATATTTGAATTTGTGTAATTAGTGCATATCCAAAGTGGTCTTTAGACTGTGTGTGCAAAAAAAATAGTTAACACCTAAGTTGGAATGTTCAGTAAGTCCTTTTATCTATTCTTTTTCGAATTTATTTTGTGGATATTACTTCGGAAGTGATTAATAAATGAGAATTAATCTATTAATCGGATGTTTCGATTAATAATCGGGTTTTTATTAATCGGAAGTGTGATTAAAATATGAAATGATAAAAATAATTTTTTTTATATTGATTTTGTAAAAAACTGTTGCGGCCTTTTTAATTTCAATTGCTATAACAAATCGTACAAAATAACAATACAAAATTAAGTTTTCATTTTAATTCTTGAAATCTCTGGATCTAACGTAATAATTGAAATATACATATTCTTTTCCTTTTTATACAGTAAAAACAATTAATTACCTATATTATTTGTATACGAATTAATCAAGTAGTATCACGGAGCCTGGAATCGTGCCTGGTATATAGCAATAGACTCACCCCCTATTACATGGGACTCATAACATAAATAGTGAAAAGTGGATGTTACATTGTACAGTGGCATTAAGTGCCGTAATGTGCATCTCTGTGTAAAATTAATAACTATTAATTAATTAACTTTTATAAAAAAACTACAATTAAATTAAAACATCTCCATGTATTAGATATTAATCACCAAGTATTCACTAATCAATAAAAAAACATCTACGGCTTATTCTCTTGCGGAAATATAGGTAGTTTTTCAGTTGTAATCATTAGATTAATTTTACGTAGGTACCTATATTAATCCAAGATAAGAAACAGTCGGTTGTGGCAAACGGCTACCAGGAATTACGTCAAATTTAATGATAATTAACTAGTTATATGACTTTTGTATGACAAATATTATAAGAATATAGTTTTCTATCTTTCTAATCTAACCTTGTCAAAGTCGGAGAACCTAACGGGTAACCGGGGCACCGACTCGACGTGCAGGAGAAGGAACGGGGTGGTTTTTAGTCAGTAAGAGTCTGACACTCCCTCCCGCCTCACCCAGGTGGAAGCAGTAATTCGATGATTTTCCCCCCTTAAAAAAAAACCTTTCAAAGTCAAATCATTTTTAAAACTACATACGACTTCTGTATGTCTGAAATTATTATTATTTTTAATTTGAACCAAACAAGCTCATCAATGTCAATATCATTTATTTCAATTAGACCAGGAAGGCACTTTTGAACGTCAACAATTAAATATTAAAATACAATGTAATATTAAAAAAATGTTTAATCAGTTTCACAATTCCTCACTTTCTTTAATCTCCTCCTTACTTTATAACATAAGATAACATCACGCCATTAATCCCCGAAGGAGTAGCCAGATATGCACATTACGGCACTTAATGCCACTGTACAATGTAACACCCACTTTTCATTATGTTATGAGTCCTATGTAATCGGGGGTGAGTCTATTGCCATATACCGGGCACAATTCCAGACTCTGTGCTACTAATGAGTATTTTAAAAAACCCAGTAATACTTTGCCCGACCCGGGAATGGAACCCGAGACCCCTTGCCCGGCAGTCGCACTTGCGACCACTGAGGCTGTCACTTACTTCCTACTTTAATTCAGCCCTTATTTTAATGTCTCATTGTTATTCCTGGAAAATTTATCAAAAAATCTAGCATATTATAAAACTGACTCAAAAATATGATTGATGGTATGACGGCATTAAAATGCGATTTACTATTAAATCTTTTAAGCTCCTTAAAGCATTACGGATAAGTACTAAACATGATTAATTTCAAAAGTAAAAACGTACCGATTAATCCATATTGCAGTATAATCAATATCATTTATTTTGCACTTGAACTAGAAATATATAGACGGCCTCTTTGATAAACCTGAACGTTATAAATTGTGATTTTGAATATTGCTAAACGTGGCGATCACAGAAAACACTCGGAGAACCTAACCGGTTACCAGACGTGCAGGAGAAGGAACGGGGTGGTTTTTAGTCAGTAAGAGTCTGATACTCCCTCCCGCCCCGCCTCATCCAGGCGGGAGCAGTAACTGGATGATTTCCTCTGCTTAAAAAAATGCCATAGAGACTCATAGGCCAGAAGTGGACATTTACTGTTCTTAAAGACTGGGATTTGATGCTTAGGTCATTAAACCCACCTCCTATTACATGGGACTCATAACATAAATAGTGAAAAGTGGGTGTTACATTGTACACAGTGGCATTAAGTGCCGTAATGTGCACCTCTGCCTACCCCTTCGGAGATAAAGGGCGTGGTGTTATAATCATTAAATTTCATGGATACTTTAGAAATAAAAATATAAATTTTCTAGAATAAAACCGACAAAATCCATCGATTCGACATTAAGTGCAATATATGACGTACGTAACTTACAAAACTGTAAAATGCGCGTAAAATAGAAACAACGACTAGACTCGATAGAGACTTAAATACATGTTCAAACAAGTTTACACATGACGTGATGTTTTATCAATCAATAACATCAGTACGATAACAAAGTAAAAAAGCCTAAATAACCAAATAATACCTTCTTTTATCTTTATTTAATTAGAAGGGCTTTTTTTCTTAGAAGAAAATGTCAGCCCTATTATAGGATACAAAATTCAATA